AATATGTTATCCTTAAATCCATTATCATCGTTTTTAAGGGGAATGGTTATAATTGTTCAAGGTTTAAGACACAGCGTACAGGAAGAATTAGGTTATTGTACTGAAGAAGTTAAGTTATCATACTCGAGGGGCTAAGACCTTTCTCACAGGACTAGATCATCGTACTCAAGAGGTCAACAACTACAATTTACTAACCATAAGCACTCAAGTTCCTCCCGTTTCCTGTTCGCTCAAGTACAGTAATTCCACCCACCTACGACTTACAACTCTCTCAATGTTACACACACACACACACACACACACACACACACACACACACACACACATCTGAATCATATCTAGGCAAGCCTCTCTTTCTTACGGGTCATCAGTGAGTTAACACAGTCAAAACTATCTTGGTTGCATACTAACCTGTGTATAACTCGTATCTAACGTGTATATATTTTTCCTTCCATAAAATACGAGTTTTTTTTGTATTCATTTAAAACTTGTGTACCCTCGTGAAATACAACTAGTTTGAAAAAAATCTGACAGAAATTTCTTTTTTTTTCCATTAAAGTTCCATTATTTCCCTCCAACCTTCTCGTATTTCCCATGTTAAAGCTGACTATTCCTTAACAAAAGAGTATCTTTAGGTCTCCTGAATTCCAAGGCCCACGATTTCAATATTCCCATTGTTTGAGTTAGATATTTATATAAATACACCCCTACATATATTCATTTGTATATTATATGTAGCCTATAAATAATAATAATAGAATGCCTCGTCTTTGTGCAAGGATTACACATAGCGCATAGTATTATCTCCAAGGTCGTGAGGGATACAACGATAGGTGTGTGTGTGTGTGTGTGTACATTTGTGTGTTTCTACGTGCATTAATATTATTCGGTTTTATTTGTGTGTGTTTCCATTTATGAACTGTTTTGTGTTTGTATCTGTGCTTCTTTGTGAACTTAAGTTTGTCCGTGATCATGTTTATGTGTGTTTGTGTCAGTGTCTTAATTTGTGTTTGTTTGGATTTATGTTTGTGTGTGTGCATCTGATCGTAGTTTATCTTCCTGTTCCATAATCGGAACTTTGGTAAATTCAACAGAATTATACACCACTTGAGCACAAATGGTGTACAGATTTATGGAGTGGTGACGTGTATGTGTGTTGAAATATCTCTTAAAGTCAACACTGTGGTGTAATGGTCAGCATTCTCGCCTCGCAAGCGAGAGGACACGAGTTCGATCCTGGACTGGGTGAAACTATGGGCAAGTTTCTTTACGTCATTTGCATCTGTCTACCAAGCAGTAATTGGGGACTTGGATGTTAATCGATTTGCGGATCGTATTCCGGGGTAATGGTTAGCCAGTGGAGTTGTCCAGTCTTCTCGGACTATTCCTTGACAGCCGAAAACAATATTAATAGATTAGTTAGACATGAACGCCCGCTTGTGAAGCCATGTTGGGAATCATTGATCAACTTGTGCTTCTCCAGGTGATTTCGAATAGAGTTTGAAATGATTTCTTCCATTAATTTGCCTACAAATGATGTTAGACTGATTGGGCGGTAGTTAGATGATAGTGATCTATCCCCCTTCTTGAAAATCGGTATTACATTCGCTATCCTCCAGGATTCTGGTACTACACCTGTTTTTAAGGACATGTAAAACAACTTTGCTAAGGGCATACTAAGCTCTTCCTTACATTCCTTTAATACTCTGGCAAATATCTCATCGGGACCAGGTGACTTATTAGGCTTTAGTTTGTCTATTTGCTTATTAACATCGTTACTAGTCACTACTATCTCGCTTAATTTATTTTCTTCGCTATCTCTGTATAGAGTCGGTGCCTCGTGTCTATTACCGCACCAACAACTACTACTGCCTCACCTACCACCACTACTGCTATTAACACAACTACCATTACCAATAACACCACCACTACTACTACCACCACCACTAGCGCTACCACCATATGCTTACCATCACTACTATTACTACAACCCTTATCACCACCACTACTACTTCTTCTACCACCACCATTACTACCACAACCACCACCATTACGTGCTCACCACCATCACTAATAATACCACTACTATAACCAAGTGCTACCCACCCCGTGCTCACCACCTCCACGTGCTCGCCACCACCACGTGCTCGCCACCACCGCCACATGCTTGCCATCTCTACGTGCTGGTTGCCTCAAAGGGCATCCAGAACGGAAGCTATAAATAGGTTATATAATTGAGACAGTAATCACAAAGACAGAAAGCTAAAGGATCTTATCTCTCTCGCTATCTTTTGCTCTTCTCTCTTGTTCTCTCATTATTTTTCGCTCTCATTCTTCCTCTCTCTCTTTCTCTTCGTGTAATCTCTCTCTCTCTCTCTCTCTCTCTCTCTCTCTCTCTGCAATTATATTATACCTCTATACCATTTGTTCTAATTGTTATATCATGTTAAAAGTCTGACGTCGCAAAACTGACTACACGGGACTGATGACTCAAGGACACAAGGCTGACGACTCAACACTGATGACTCAAGGCTTATGATTCAAGGCTTACGACTCAACGCTGACGACCAAGCAACTGACGACTCAACACTGACGACTTAGTACTGACGACTCAATACTGTCGACTTAATTGACGACTCAACAATGACGACTCAACATTGATGACTCATCACTGACGACTTAATTGACGACTCAACACTAACGACTCAACACTGATGACTTAATATTGACGACTGAACATTAACGACTCAACATTGACGATTCAACACTGGCGAGTTAATATTGACGACTCAACACTGGCGACCTAATGCTGATGACTCAACACTGACGACTCAACATTGACAACTCAACACTGACGACTTAATTGACGACTTAATTGACGACTCAACATTGACGATTTAACATTGACGACTCACCACTGACGACTCGACACTGGCGCCTCAACACTGGCGATTTAATACTGACGACTCAACACTGACGACTTAATTGACGACTCAACACTGACGACTCAACACTGACGACTTAATTGACGACTTAATTGACGACTCAACATTGACGATTCAACATTGACGACTCACCACTGACGACTCAACACTGACGCCTCAACACTGGCGATTTAATACTGACGGCTCAACACTGACGACTTAATTGACGACTCAACACTGACGACTCAACACTGACGACTCAACACTGACCACTTAATACTGAATATTCAACACTGGCGACTAATACTGACTATTCAACACTGACGACTTAATACTGACGACTCAACACTGACGACTTAATACTGACGACTCAACACTGACGACTTAATTGACGACTCAACACTGACCACTTAATACTGAATATTCAACACTGGCGACTTAATACTGACTATTCAACACTGACGACTTAACACTGACGACTCAACACTGACGACTTAATACTGACGACTCAACACTGACGACTTAATTACTGACGACTCAACACTGAACACTGACGACTCAACACTGCACTTAATACTGAATATTCAACACTGGCGACTTAATACTGACTATTCAACACTGACGACTTAACACTGACGACTCAACACTGACGACTTAATACTGACGACTCAACACTGACGACTTAATACTGACGACTCAACACTGACGACTTAATACTGACGACTCAACACTGCTGTCTTAATACTGACAACTCAACACTGGCGACTTAATACTGACGTCCCAACACTGACGACCTAATACTGACGACTCAACACTGACGACTTAATTGACGACTCAACACTGACGACTGAACACGAACGACCCAACATTGACGACTCAACACTGACGACTTAATACTGACGACTCAATATTGACGACTTACTACTGACGATGCAACACTGACGATTTAACACGTATGACTCAAAGCTTGCAACTACTCAACAATGACGACTCAATACTGATGACACAAGGCTGACGACTTAAAACTGACGACTCATGGCTAATGACTCAAGATTAACGGCTCAATACTGGCGACCCAAGTCTGGCGATTCAAAATTGAGCCTCAAGTCATAAGATGTGTGACAGACAGACAGACAGGCAGAGAAATATGTTTAAATCTGTCGTCTTCTGGTATTGGCTTAAAAAAAGAAGAAAAAAAATACTTGGACCTTGGCGACCTCTCTTTCGTCTTGCGTACAGTTTCATAGACGCGTTTCATTGTTGAGTGTGAAGAAAGAGCGTCAGACATTGCTGATCGTCCGTGCTGGCAATGGTATAATAGTAAGTGGTATTAGCATTATTAATTTTATTTTCGTTTATCTCTCTCGTTATTCTAAGACTCACTAATTCCCCATCTCTCGTCAAGCAAACCCTATTACCTATTTCTCGATCTCCCCAAAACCCATTACCATCTCCCTATCTCTCATCTACTGTACCAGCCTTCTCCCCATCTCTTTCCATCATTCTCCAGCTGGTCTCCCCCTTCACCTGTCACTCCTTTAATGTGTCCCCATCACCCTTCCCCTCCCCCCCCCGTCTGTCGCCCACCACCCTCTCCCCCCCATCACCGTGTCTGCAATGCTTCAGATACAAATTGTAAACTAAGAAGTGATTAGTGCCTGGTAGGGGTCCCTGACGCTGCTACTAAAGACCGAGCGAGACCGAGAGAGACCGAGAGAGACCGAGAGAGACCGAGAAAGACGGAGAGAGACCAAGAGAGACCGAGAGAGACCAAAAGAGGCCGAGAGAGACCGAGACAGACGGAGAGAGACCAAGAGAGACCGAGAGAGACCGAAAGAGGCCGAGAGAGACCGAGAAAGACGGAGAGAGACCAAGAGAGAGCGAGAGAGACTTGCTCCCTGCCCTTACCTCAACACTCGTTATAGACTGTAGGAACCACTTTAGATCAGGGACCACCTCCTAGACCATAGATAAGCCACTAGGGCCATAGTCTATTAGGCTGTAGAACGAAAGACCCAGAGATTAATAAGGCCAAAGGCCTCTGAGACCACAGACTATCATACCCATTGATCACAGGGGTCATAGGCCACCTGGAACCACAGACCACCAAGGACCACAGACCACCAAGGACCACAGACCACAAGGGACCACAGACCACCAAGGACCACAGACCACTAGGAACCACAGACCACTTGGAACCACAGACCACCAGGGACCACAGACCACCAAGGACCACAGACCACCAAGGACCACATGCCACCAGGGACCACAGACCACCAAGGACCACATACCACTAGGGACCACAGACCACCAGGGACCACAGACCACCAAGGACCACAGACCGCCAAGGACCACATACCTAAAAGGCAATTATGTCTAACAGGACGGCCGTCTCGATTTTGTCACATTTGAAAAACTTTTATATTATATGGATTTTTTTTTCAAATCTGAATGAATTCAGGGCTTATTTGCAACACTGAGAAAAAGAAAAAAATCTAAAAAAAATTTAAGACGGAAATAATTCAGGCGGAAAAGGGCTAAACATGATTACGATGATATTGTACTTGTTAGGTTAAGTCATCGCCCTCAAGGCGTTAATTATTCCCTTGAGTACGATACTTGTACTCAGAGGTTAAGTCATCGCCTTCAAGGGGTTAACTATAATATAATCTGATTATAGAGGCGAGTAGTCATGAGAGAGTTGAAGCCATTAAATAGTTAAGCTTTTGGGGTTAAACTACAGAAAAGCTCCACATACCAAGCTTAAATCTGCCATACGGCTTCAAATTATATGTCTCAAGCTCTCGCATTATTTCTCAGCCTCCCGTCTCTCACTCTCACGCCTCCCTCTCACCTTTTCTCTCTCATCTTCTCTCACCCTCTCACACACCTTCTCTAGGCCTTTACTCGTCACTCTCACACCTTCCACTCACTCACTTCTTAGCCTCCCCTCTCTCACACGCACCTCTCTCCCCTTCTTCCCTCTCTCACACCCTCCTCTCACCCCTCTCTCCCTCCCACAGACACATAGGATGACACAAGCTAATCCATAGTGTCTTTTTTATCTTTTTTCTTTTAACCGGTTTAATACCTGGTCTGTCAGGTGCAGGTGAGGGTCCAAATGAGTTCGATTAAGCTTCGACACCCCCTGAGGAGAGGAGCTACAACGATTGTGTGTGTGTGTGTGTGCGTGTGTGTGTGTGTGTGTGTGTGTGTGTGTGTGTGTGTGTGTGTGTGTGTGTGTGTGTGTGTGTGTGTGTGTGTGTGTGTGTGTGTGTGTGTGTGTGTGTGTGTGTGTTTTAATATAATATAAACAAGCCGTAACACCGACCGCACTAGTAGCTCGAAACGTCAACAAACGGAGAAGATTGATTGTTATGTCACCTCGTTTCAACAACTACAACGCCAGTACTGTAGCAAAGAGTGTATACGTGTGTGTGCGTGTGTGTGTGTGTGTGTGTGTGTGTGTGTGTGTGTGTGTGTGTACCTGGGGATTAGGCTAGAATTGGTTCGGCTATTTTAGGTTAGAATAGATTAGGTTGGGCTATTTTAAGTTAAATTAGACTGGGTTTGAATAGGTTGGGTTAGGTCAGGTTAACTTTGGTTAGGTTAGTCTGAGTGACTAGGTGAGGGGTGTAATGTGACGTGGTGAGGAGGAGCAATCAAGAAGTGTTAAGAGCAGGTAAATTAGGTATCAATAAGTTCATAGACGGAAAACTTTTTGAATTTAGAAACATTTAAGTAATTTTCTCTTTGTCATTATTATTTTTTGTATTTTTTAATTGATGTTAATGATACATGTAAGTGTTTTTGATATGCTGTTTGTTTTCATTAGTAGACTTATATGTACAGTAGCTAAAACAATTATCTGTGCATACTTTGTGGGAAACAATAAGAGGCCATGGACGATAAATTTTGGTATATGAGGGCTATTACAAGTCACACGTAAAATTTCGTAGCATATATCGACCCCCACCTGCACAGATAGTTGTTTTAGCTGCTATAAAACATGAGTGTATGGGTGTTAGCCATTTAGGGGAGTCGTGGAATTTTTCTCCCAGGTACCGAGTCAATCAACTCTTCAATACTTTAAATTATTATTGACTGTATTTAATTTTTTCCTTTTTTATCATAAATCCATATAATATTAATTTATTTCTTAAAGCATGAGTTAATGGCTGGAATATACATTACGTGATATAAAACACAAACACGACGCGATATAATGTCATTAAAATATATTATGAGCTATCAGTACAGCACATCACTGATAACATTCAGAATATATTTGAGTAAACGCGGGATTTATAGTTAATTATTACTCGTCTCTTTACCCTGAAATAATTAATCAACGATCCTAATTTCACCATTAGAATTCATATATGCGAACAGTTCCGTTAAATAATGATGTGAATTTTTTTTTATGATATGGAGTTGAAAAAATCTGAAGAATTATATAACAATTTAATAGAACATTGATAGTACTTACCCTCAAGTGTCAGTCCATCACTATCACCGTCACCATCACCGTCACCGTCACCATCAGCGTCACTGTCAGCGTCACCGTCAGCGGGTCCTACGGTCAGAGGCACCTGCCACCTGTGTGTGTGAATACTCATATATTACACTAAATAGAGATAACTGCCGATTAGCAAAAAACTTTTATGTATTATCTTTTATGTAAACGTCTGACTGGCCATAGACGATCATGTAGATCATAAAAATACATATAAATCAAGTTTCATACAAACAATACCTTAACTGCCTCTGACCCAGCTTGAGTTGACCTCTGACCCAGCTTGGAGAAGGTCGTGCCCGATCGTGCTCCCGTTAGAGACCAAGGAAAATGGCCGCTTTGGATCGTTGTGTCGTGGGGGAAGAGGAGGGGAGTGTGGGGAAAGACGACCTCCTTGCCACTCTGTTAGGGCAGCTGGGGCAGTTGAGGAGTGAGGTTGACACTCTAAAGGGGGAAAACGAAGCCCTCAGGACGGAACTCCTTCAGGTAGGTGTCCTGCCTAGCAGGACACTTGCGAAGGAGGAGCAGGCGTGGAGAGTGGTTGTCTCCAAGGGGACTAGGGTCAGGCTCAGGAAAGCTGACCAGGGTGTGGAGTGTAGTAACCCTTACCAGGTGCTGCAGGAAGCTGGCGAGGAAGAGAAGAGGCAGGACGGTATGGATCAAGGAGAGGAAAGGGCAGTTGTACAAACCCTGCCCACAGGTAAGGTCGTGGTAGTTGGTGACAGCCAGGTGAGGTTTATAGATAGGGCTTTTTGTGCGAGAGATAGGAAACGTAGGACTAGGGTGTGTTTTCCTGGGGCTGGGATAGGGCATGTAGCCGAGAGGTTAGACAGGGTTTTGTCAGGGGAGGGTACCAATCCAGTAGTGTGTCTTAGTGTGGGAGGAAACGACATAGGTAAGGTTAGGAGTGAGGAACTTTTCAAGAGGTATAGGGAGGCGCTGGGGAAGATTAGAGATAGGGGAGGGATCCCGATAGTATGTGGTGTCTTGCCTAGAAGAGGGGTTGGTCGTGAATGGCTGTCCAGGGCAATTGCTATAAATTGCCGACTGGAAAAACATTGTGCAAACAATGGTTGGGCATTCATTGATAACTGGCAACGATTCTATGGCAACGACTACCTGTACTGTCGCGACGGAGTACACTTGTCTCGTGAGGGGGTAAAGACGTTGTCTGCATCCCTGGAGCGTGAAATTGTCACTCCGAAGGGGGGGTTTCGCCAGTAGAGAGAGGTCGGGGAAAGTGGGAGTCAAAAAACAAGCAGGTCCTGGGAAGTAAAATTAGTTGCTCAGGACAAGGGGTAAAACAGGACCAGGGAAGGATAGGTTTAAATGTATACTATACAAACAGTAGGAGCGTTAGAAATAAAATAGACTTGCTGAGAGCGGCTGTATGTACCGAGAATGTAGACGTCATAGCAATCACCGAAACTTGGATGAATCTGGCGAGCAAAATTTTTTTATCAGAGTACCACATAGAAGGGTACTCTTTGCCAAGACTTGGGGGCCTGTAAATCACTCCCATAATTAGTTTTCTCTTCCTTCCACGATTTCTACCCACACAGACTCGGTTCCTATTTCACCCTTTATTGAATTATTAATACAACATTTTAATGTATCCTTGACGAAGAGTGCGACCCCTCCCCCTTCCTACCTTCCCTTAATACATGTTCTGTAATACTTTACTATACATAATTAATAAAAGTAATAGAGTAATATAATAATATACAGCTGAAGGTACTACTTTGTGTCCATTCATACAGAATCTACAACCTGGAGTGTGTTGGGACCTAAAGTAATGAAAGGGGGTGAGACAATGTAGAAGGAGAGGTTGATGTGCATAACCATGGTCTTAGTATCGTTGATGGTGACGGTGGTTGTTGGTGGCCCGGTTTTGAAGACTGTTCAATAAATCCTGAAGGGCGGTGTAGTCGAGAGCAGATTTGTTGACGCTGATCCCAATGGTGGAGTCGTCGACATATTTCCAGCGAGCAGGGGTTTCTCTTAGGGCATCATTGATAAGCATAAGGAAGCAGAGTGGTCCCATCTTGGTGCCTTGGGGGACGCCACAGGTGAGTGACTGAAGGGTGGAGACAGCCTCTCGGAAGCGTACAGCTTGGCGTCGGTCACTGAGGAAGTCTGCAAGCCATGGTATAAGACTTTTCCGAAGCCCGAGGTCAATAGCTTTGTTGATGATTAAATTGTGGTCGACTAGGTCGAATGCTTTAGTGAAATCAATGAAGGCGACAGCTACAGACGTTTTTCGTTTCTCGAGATGGAGGTATATGTAATCGAGAAAGCTGACAAGACAGTGAGTGGTGGAGCAAGTTTTCATATTGCCAAATTGCTGAGGGTCTACGACTCCTGCAATATCAGCATAAGCCCAGTCGAACACAAAACTTTCACAGATTAGGCTGGGTATTGGGGTGATTGCAATAGGTCGTAGCTGATTTAAGGATTGTGGGCTGGTTGACTTGGGCACTGGTGTGTGTGTGTGTGTGTGTGAGTCAACAGGCGTCATAGCAACACCGATGTTAACATTAAATATAATTATAAGCAATAAGCTGCAGTGACGAAAATTAAGGTTCATATACTTAGATAGCTATCAGGCAAAATGACGAAATACACTTTCTTATACACATACTGATGTATGCACACACATGTATACACAAATATACAACACACACACACACATGTAAACACAAATACACAACACCCACATACACACGACATACGCACTCACACAGCACGAGAGATGAGTGAGCTGTGCGGTAACAAGTACAAGAGAGGAGTCACTGTGGTTAGTGTCTAATGTTCTAAACATCAAGAAGAACATGGAGGTACATCGACCTTTACACAGTGTCGAC